CTCTGCCCTGTCTCCTCCGGCCCCGCCCAGTCCTTGCCCTGAGCGGAGCTCCCGGCCCTGCGCCCCCTCCAGAGGCTCCCCAGCCCTGGGGTTGGAAAGGGGCTCTCGAGGGCTTCCCAGGGCGTCCCTCTCCGCCTGGGCTCGCCCGGCCTAGCCCCTGCAACGGGGAAGCCCCGCCTGGCGACTAGCGCTGTTGGGAGCAGAGAGTGGCTTCAGGTGCCGGGATCTGGCCCTCGGGCTGTCTGCACACGCCGCAGAACCCCACTTCCGGGAGCGGCCGAGAGTGCAGGGATGTGCCCGGGTCTTGGGAGGGCTCCTTAGGGGACCTGTACCCTGGCTCACCGGGACCAGCTCAACAGAAGGAAAGAGAGCCCCATCTCCTCGGCACAAGGCTTTGTGCCACCCCCAGCCAGCGAGCCCGAGGCCTCCACGGGAGCCTTGAAGGGGAAACTGAGTCCCAGAACAGGAATGTGACATCCCTCGGTGAGTGGGGGGAAAAGGTCGCAGGAAAGAGAGCCAGAGTCCCCGCTACGTGTTCGTGCTCGGCGCCATCTCTAAAAGCATGGTGATCTTTTGGGTCCAGGACCTCATTAAGTCCAAAGGGACAGGCAGGAAATGCTTCGTCCCCTCCCGCAACGACACGGACGAGGCAGGGCGCTCCTCCCGCTGTCCCTACCCCCAAAGCAAGACAGGGCCTGGGGAGAGGGGTGCGGAGGACGCAACAGGCCGGATGTGGACGTGGGTGGGCAAGCATTGTACCCTTACTGTGTGCCAGGGCCTTGGGCAGCCCTAGAGGCAGAAGACCACGGAGGCTGCTCAGCACCCTGGAGCAGGTGCCTGTTCGGGGTGGGTCCGGAGCCAGCTGAGCCTGCCCCTCCTGCTGTCACCTCCCAGGCCTGCTGTCCCTGCCTCCCAGGGCCAGGTGCCCTTTCAGGCCTGCATACATGTGATGAATATTTATGGTCTCTGCACTGCCGGTCCCTGCCCTTCGCCGGGACTCCCTGGTGCCCGGGTCCCTCACCTCCCACAGGTCCCGAGAGACTACTTCCTCCCAGGTGGCTTGGGGTCCCCCTCCGCCTCCAGGCTCTTCTCAGGCAGGGGAGGCAGGATGCACCTTTCCCACGTGTGGGGCCCTGGCTCGGGAGGGTGACTAACTGGGGGGAGGGGCGGGTGCCTGCGGTCACTGCATGGCTGAGGCAGGAATGGGAAGAGCCCCATTCATCTGCCTGCTGCCCAGGGCCTGTGCCCCGGAGACCTTGGGCTCTGCCCAACACCAGGACTCCCTGCTCACCTTCGGGCCACATGGTTCTCCACACCGGGGCTGTCTTGCACACCTAGGATGCTAAGCATTGCCCCCTCAAAGCTGGGACAGTCAGACAACGCTCCAGACACTGCTGGTGCCAACAGCCCTTGGCTGAGAACTGACCTTCCCAGTACCCTCCAGAATTCCCAGGCCCAGCAGCAAGCATGGCCACCTGGGGGCTCAGAAGGACATCAGCAGAGGGGTTGCTGAAAGGAAAGAAGGGAATGGAATTACTGTGAGAAGAGGAAAAATGGAAGCCAAGTCTGTACATGGGGAGGGGTGGAGGGGTTGAAGGGAGAACAGGGGAATGGGGAAAAAAGAAGAGCCGAGATAATGTAAAGGTACAAGATCCCAATGAATGTCATTATACTGTATTCCTAAAATGTACCAATAAAATTAATTTTTAGAAATTACATAAGGGGAAATCCTGTTACAGCTCAAGGTGGGTGTGGTCATCCCAGCACGAAGGAGGCTGAGGCAGGAGGGTAACCTTAGGTTCAGGGCCAGCCTAGGTTACATAGCAAGGGTGAGACTCTGTCCTCATAGGGCTGGTCCAGGTGGGCCATGGCATGGAGGGGTGGTGGTGTAAATGCTCCCACACATGTGGCCCACCTTGATGAAGGACTAGGTAGGAGCTGGTGTGGAGCGTCCGCCTGACATCGTGTTCCTGTAGCCAGCTGAGGTGCCAGTCCCAGGGCAGTAGTGGACGTTGCTGGTGGGGACACAGGAGCTCCAGGAGGAGGTAGGTCCTGTGACCTCCTCTCTCCCACCCAATGGGCCATGACGGGCTGGGCACCCACTCCCTGC